GAGAGAGAGAGAGAGAGAGAGAGAGAGAGACAGAGAGAGCGAGCGAGGAAAGGCCTGCCCACCCCCCGAGGGGGGGGGGGGGGGAGGGAAAAGCCTAAGAGGGCAAGAGAGAAGCTAGATGCAAGAGTGCAGGAGATCAAGAGATCAAGAGAAAGAGGAGGGGGCAAGTAGCCCCTTTTATAGTGGGCCAGGCCTACCTGGCTGTTGCTAGGTAACTGTGGGGGTGGAGTTTAGACAGCATGCTAACAGTCTTCATTCTGTAGCTTGGGCTAGCTTAGAACTTACTATGGAGCCTAGGATGACATGGGAATCTAGACTATCCTCCTGACTCAGTCTCTCCAGTGCTGGGATGACAGGTGTGAGGCACCAAGCCTGTGTTTAAGTATTGCCTGAGGAAGACTGAATCTTGTAGGAAATCCACAGATGCAACGAATCTCACTGGAGTTCTAAGGGACCACTATTTATCCTGTATCACGCACTTCATTCCCACCACAATCCCAGAAAAGAGACTCTATTCTTATATTTTGCAGATGAAAACCCGAGGCAGGAGGAGGATGTCCAATCTCCCCTTAATGACTTATATGAAGAAAGCAGGTGACAGGAAGAAAGCCATTTTCTTTAATGACTGGAAGATATCATTGGAAAGGTACAGGTGGCATTGTAAACAGACTTCCAAGCCCTCTTTTATATGCAAATCGTTACCCATGCTCCTGTAAACAAATAGGACTCACTGGGTTAGAAAACAAAGACATGAAAGTAGATGGGGGATTAGCTAGCTGGGAAGAGAAAGATTATTAACTGGAATGGATATATATAAAATTTAAAAAAGAAACTGAGGCATAGAAATAATGTAACTTGCTCAAGTCACTTTAACTTGTAAGGAGTAGAACTAAGAATTCTGGAGAGAAGGGATGACAAAGGCCCCTACTTCCACCTTCTGGGAATCCAACTAGCAAAAGTACCAACCTCCACCAATTCTTGGGACTCCAAGGGAAAAAACTGAGAGGTGTCCTTTTGTGTGAGACCTGAGGCTTGTCGAGGTCCTAGTTACTTCAAGAGATCAGATCTGGAAGGGTCTTTTGAATAGGAGCTTGGGACCCCTAGCAGGGCCATTTACTTAAGGTTCTCCCAGCTTTAAAATGTTCAGATTTAGAATGGGATGGGTAACAGAGTGTCTGGAGCAGAGACCCCAAAATACAGTCCTTTTGTTTTCAAAAGTGGAGAAACCCCAAGAAGAGGAATACAAGACAGCCTAGCACCTAAGAACTACAATGGGTCTTCATCAGTCGGTAAAGCAGTGAGGTTCATGAGTGAGTTATTAGTTCTCTACAGGATGTTTGGAGTCAGTTTTAGTCGCCACAGCTGGTGTGTAGAAGTAACAATTATCTAGTTTTGACTGAGTAGAATCTAAGGATGCCACTAAATATCCTGTAATGAACAGCATAGCCCCCGGCACAAAGAAGGATGTGGCCCCCAATCTGCCGCCCCTTCCCAGTGAGAAGCCTGCCTTTTTTTTTTTCATTTGATGCATTGTAGCCACCACTCACAGGAAGCTCCGTCTGGGGCTTCTTCAAAGAGTCATTGTGCAAGCAGGAAACCAGCAGCCCGTGAAACTAGAAGGGGGATCAGAGAGCAGACAGAACCACACACATGGCTTTTAACCGACTGTATCTTTCTTCCTGACAGCGAAAGGTCAGTGTTTGCTTCTGTTGATAGGCATCAGGACCAAGGCAGGGGCTGGTCTTGTGCAATAGATTAAAACATGATATCCTAAGGTATCACTCTGTGAATGTTACTTTATGTGTGTGTGTTGAGGGGGGCAGGGATGAAGACAAATCTTTGCAGATGTGATGAAATTAAACCCCCAGCCCTATTATGACAGAATTTCATGTAGCCCAGGATAACTCTGAACTATCAATTCTCTTACCTCAACTTTCTGAATGCTGGGATTACTAGCATGTATTAAGACACATCTAGTTTATTCTGAGGATCCAACCCATGCCTTCATGTGCATTAGGAGGCGCTCTATCAAATGAGCTGTAACCCCAGCTCTGAAGTTAAAGATCTTAAGACAAATTTTTCTGCAATATTTAGGAGGGCCTGAAATACTTAGCATAGCTCCTTATAAGAAGGAGGAAGAAGCCGAGCAGTGGTGGCAGACACCTTTAATCCCATACTCAAGGCAGAGGCAGGAAGAATCTTTGAGTTCAAAGCTAGCCTGGTCTATAAAGTGAGTTCCAGGACAGCCAGGGCTGCACAGAGAAACCTGGTCTAGAAAATCTACCCACCCAACAAATAATCAAATAAATGAAATACATTTTTTTTAGTAAAGAAAGAAGAGGGAGCTTCAGAATGTGCATAACAGAGACCACAATGTGACAGCAGCGGAACTTAGAAGAGGTCACAAGCTAATGAATGCAGGCACCAGATTCTGGAAAAAAAAAAGGCGCGGATGTTCTCTTAGAGCTTCCTGGGTACACACTGCCCAAACACACTGTGATTATGACCCAGAGATACTGATCTCAAAATCCTTGTTCCTAGAACTGGGAGAAAATAATCTTCCATTGCATAGAAATCATTAGTCAGTGGTCATTTGTTATCACAGCCCCAGGAGACTAATTTACCTTGATAATTTACCCTAGAGTCCCCAATTGATCCATTGCTATTGAAGGGCAAACACTTTGCTGCAGACAAGTCCAGAGAAAGGTAATGGAAAATTCCTTTGTTTTGCCCTAATATGTGGCATCTGCCTCCTCTCTGCCTCTGTCCACCAACAGTGACTGACTGACTGACTATCTAGCCAATCACATAGCATTGCCATCATGTGGTTCAAAGCTCTAGAGTCTTTTATCCCATCTGTTATTAGACTGTGGAGTCTTTCTCATTTATTGATCTAATTAGTTTTGAGCCAGGATCTCATGTACTCTAAAGTAACTGAGGATAATCTTGAACTTCTGTAGCTTGTGCCACCACTGACTAAGTGCTGGGATTACATCAAAATAGTCTGCATCATATTTGCTTTTATGTGGTACTGGGGGTAAAATTCAGGGCTTTGTACAGGCTACATTGAGTGAGCCCCAGTCCTAGCCCCAACTGTGCACTCAACATTGTTTTAATAAGGAAAACATGAGGGAACCAATTCTTTTCTTTTAAACGTTTATTTATTTTTATATATGTGAATATACTGTGACTGTCTTCAGACATACCAGAAGAGTGCACCGGATTCCATTACAGATGGTTGTGAGCCACCATGTGGTTGCTGGGAATTGAACTCAGGACCTCTGGAAGAGCAGTCAGTGCTCTTAACCGCTGAGGCATCTTTTCAACCCCACTCTTAACATTTTTAAAACACTTCTGTGAATTGCATGTACATATACATGTGTCACCGTGCTCATGTGGAGGTTGGAAAACAACCTCCAGTGTCAGTCTTTGTCTTCTTCGTTGTTTGAGACAGGGTCTCTTTATCACTGTCTAATGCAGATTAGCTGGCCCAGGGAATTTTCCTGTGTCTTTCTCTTATAACTATGTAAAGGCATTAGGATTAAAGATGTGCACTACCAAGTCTGTCTTTTTGTGTGGATCAGAATGCATGTTCCCATGCTTGCATGGCAAACCTTTTGCCCATAAATCCACCTCTGCAGTCCTCAGTTGCTGAAAGAAAGAGAAGCCTTTTCCTGTGCCACATGTACAGCTGAGCAAACCAGCAATGTTGAATGTTGGAAGGACACTGGGGCATAAAGAACGGAACACACACATGTCCATAAGAAGCACGTGCTTAACATCACTTTGTACCAAGCTGTATCTTTTAAGCTGGTCTTTCCTGGTACTGGGGCGGGTGCTGACACTGACAGAATCTCTGAAAGCAAATATTTGAGGAGGAACCTTTACTTAGTGACGAGGTCCCCGTTGAAATGAAAACTGCAGGCAACGAGAAGTATGTGGATTATGTGGCCTGAGGGCAGGCAGAGGGATCTGAAGAAGCCTGATCTCCTGCCAAGGGACAGCTCTGTTACAGTCCAGGCACAAAGCCAGCAGCCCCTCCTGCTCTTCCAGCTGCCAGCTCCCTTCAAATGTGGATTCCTGCGTACCAGCTGCTCCCCTCTGGAGTGCCACTGAATTCTAGAAATCCCAAGCAGCTTTGTGAAAGCAACCAGAGAAGGAGAAGGTATTTTAAGAAGTGTAGTAGTGTTGTCACCACTCTAAGGAACAAAGAACGTCAATGCTAGTCTATCTACAAGGTGGACTTACAAGCAGCCATCATTCACACGAGCAACATTCCTTATGCGCAAAAGTTCATTCCATATCGTTCTGGCTTTGTGTCCAGGTTATTTCATCTTATCATTTCTTCTCTTTAAAAATGGATCTTTTTCTGTGCGGAACATTGTACTCCTCCCTGAAGGCATTTTCTCTGAGACATGTTCCAGTCCTCTCTTAAGGATTTGAGGGTATGACACTGGAGGGAGGGAATCAGGAATGCAGATTGAGGTGCCTCCAACTCACTCTTGACTGAGCTTCCATAAAATCCTCACACTCTTCTTTGTTCCTTGCTTCCCACCAAGGAAAGAGTTGGCCGGATCCAGGTGACACCAAATAGTCTGAGTCAGCAAATGCGTTTAGAGCTCCATTCCAGGACGTCAGCAACAACAGGGTAATTCAGTCTCTTTTTCTTTCTACTTGTTTTTAAACACTTATTTTTCCGTTATTGCCCTGCTGGGTAAGTAGTTATTTTTATGAAAACAACGACATTCGTGCTACTTGATCTTCTTCTTTTTCTTTTTTGGTGCTGTTCTTGATGGGCATGGAACTCAGGGTCTCACAAGCGCTAAGCACTCACTACACCACTGACTCACCCCAGCCCCTCCTCTGCCATGTGAGAGCTTGCTGAATGGCTTGTTCTGGAACTGGCTTTCAAATCAAATTCATGTTTTTCTCTAGAGTTGGAGAACAATAAAATGGTCATTGGTCCTAAGTTTCTCGGATTGCGTTACTTCAGCTCAACTTTCATGAGTTATTTCAATAAGTTTACTACTAGACCTGTCACAATTCTCTGCTTGTTTAATTCTTACTCTAAAAAGCACGTGGGGTTGCTGAAGAAATGAGCATCGAGTCTCGCAAAGACTTCCTTTTTAAAAATTCAAAATTCCTTCTATTTGTTTCTTTTCTTGCTTTCTTTTCCTTTTTTAATATTTTTATTTTTTGTGATACTTTTCTCATGTACCCAGGCCAACTTAGAAGTCAATAGGCCAATGATGATGTTGAAGCCCAACTTACGTCATATTGGGGATAGAACCCAGGCTCTGTACTTGCTAGACAAACACTTCAGCAACTCAACTGCAGCCAACACTGAGGTTCCTTTAGTCCCAAGTTTGGTGTCTACACCACTGGAATCTGTGCTCAGAGGCCTCCACAGTCCTGGAGGACTGGCTTCTTTCCCTACTGTATTGTTTATGGAGCTGTCCTTATACTGTAGTCACACTAACACAATTAAGTCTTCATTTCAGAATGGTGAACAAATGAGTACAAATGCCTTTTGTGTAGATAGAATCACAATTTTTATTGTTAATGAACTATTTAATGATGGATAATTCATCTTTTTATGTGTACGGGTCTATGAGGTCAGAGCTTCAAATATAGTCTATAAGTTTCACTACAGTTAAGACACTGATGATTTACATTATCCCATAAACTTAACTTGCCTCTTTTGAAGTCAGTCTCCTCCCACCAACTCCTAGTTCCTGGCAAGCACTTAATTGTTTTTGGTCATTATATCTTTCCTTTCCTCTCCCCTCCTCTCCTCTCCTCCCCCTCTCCCCTCCCCTCCCCTTCCCTTCTGCTCCCTTTTCTTTTCCTTTTTCTGTCTGTCAAAATATATACACCTTTTAAACTTTACTCTTAACTCCTAAATGCTGGTTTGTTTTTATAAGCAATGCTACCATACCCAGTGTATTGTTGTTGTTGTTAAATAATATTACACAAACGGAATTCAATAATATGTGGCTTTTGGCTTCTGCAGTTTTTACTCTGTATTGATGTGTGTGTGTGTGTGTGTGTGTGTGTGTGTGTGTGTGTTTGTCACAAGGTCTCTTGTAGGCAAAACTGACCTCAAACTCCATTTGTAGTTAAGGATGACTTTGAACTTCTGATCATCCTGTCTAATGTTTTGTGTTTGGTTCCGGAAGTGAGTCACAATAGAGTAATTTAGCATTTCCTTCTTTCTTTTCTTTTGTTTTTAAACGTTTATTTTTTCACTTTTGTCCCACTGGGTAAATAGTTATTTTTATGGAAAAATAAAACAACAACCAGCATTCCCTGCTACTTGACTTCTTCCTCTGCTTACTTCTCCCTCCTCTTCTTCCTCTTCCTCCTCTTTCTGTGCTGCCATTGCTGAGCGTGGAACTCAAGGTATCACATGTGACAAGCACTTGATATCCTCAGCCCCTCCTGATGAGATACTGGAATTCTGAAATTATAAGTATATATCTCCACCCTGGTTTACACAATGTTTGAGATCAAACCCAGGTCCTCATTCATGCTAGTCAATCACGATACCATTTGAGCCACATGCCCAGGCTCTCCATAATGGTTTTGAGAGCCATTCATATTGTTTTTTTAATATCAACTGTTTATTTCTTTGTGTGACTAAGTAGTGTTCCCTTGCATAGTTGTACCAAGTCTTGTTGACACACTCAGCTCTTGACAGAATATTTGGGTTATTTCTAGTTAAAGGCAACTCTGAACCAATGTTCCCAATGAAATGTCTTATGTGACTGCTTCCATTCTGCTGAATACTTTACATTTGAAAAGTTGTATTCTCATTTATGAAAAATTTAAAAGAGATTGCCCAGGGCTGGCAAAATGGCTCATTGGGTAAAAATGCTTGTTACATAAGTCTCGCAATCCGAATTCAATTCCAGAAGCCCAAATAAAAAAACCAGCTTTGGTGACGTGAATGGGAAATCCTAGCAGCCCTAAGGTGAGATGCAAACCTGTGACAATGGAATCACCAAAAATAGTGTGGGTCAGCTAACCTGGAGTATGCCATGAAACAGGGTACTGATTCCCCACATGCAAGATGTGTCATGTGCAAGCCTGAATTCTCATTCTCTCTCTCTCTCTCTCCCTCCCTCCCTCCCCGCCCATGTGTGTATATACATACAAACACACACCAAACACAAATGAATAAAAAAATTAAGAAGAAATTATATAGTTTGTATCCCAACGAGTATAAGATTCAAGTGCACCCGAGTGTGACTGTGCATGCCTGTAATCCCAGCAGTCAGGAGGAGGAGGAGGAAAAATCATTATAACAAACTCTAGCCTGATCTACATAGGAAATTCTAGTTGAGACTGGGCTGCAGGGTGAGATCTTGTCTCAAAAAAGGGAGCAAACCCAACAACAAAAATTAGTCCTCCCTTGGAATTGAGCATGGTAATATGTACATGACATACATGCTTATATGCTGAGTGTAATTCCAGCATCCTGGAGGTAGGAGAATCATAAGGTCAAGGTCATTCTCCATGAGTTCAGGCTACAAGGTAAGACTATCACAATGAAATAAATGAATAAGGGACCAGAGTATTCTGGTACAAGTGAGTAAGTGGGTAAGACTAAGAAAAAGAACATCCAAGGACCAGTGACCACTAGGGCACATCTGTGAACAGTCAGGGTGCAACACTTACGTCCAAGTCTACACAAAATGAGAAGGTGTCAAAGCAGAGAGATGCTACCACACAACTAGACCAAAAGCAAAGCATCCCCATAAGTGCAGAAATGCCAGGAAATGTTTACTGAACATTCAGCCTATTTCCTCATTCATCTGCTCACTCCTGCTCAGATTCATTAATTTGAGGGTTTTTAAAAAAAAATTTTTGGTTTGTCTTGAGACAAGAGGCTCATAATATTCCAAGCTGACCTCAAACATTTCACACTTGCTATGTAACTGAAGATAATATTCTATTTCTAATCTTCTTTCGTTGGGTATTTTAAACCCTTTTCATGAATGAAAAATTCTATTAAAATTGTTAGTCATACATAGGCCTGAACACACCATGTAATATGTGTAGAGATTCTTCCTTCTGCCTTTAAGTATGCTCCATGATTTAAACTCCGGTTTTCCTTTACCTGATGAGCCATCTCACCAATCCTCACCTTTTAAAAGCTACTTTTTAAATATGACTTTCAAGTTAGCCACTATGGTTCACCCAATGGAATTCTATGTAGCATTCAGGAGACTGAAGCAAGAAGTCAACTGAATTTGAGGCCAGCCTGGATGCACAGTGATTTCTGGGGTTACATAGACTCTGTTTTAAAAACGAAACAAAATAAAAGTAGGCATTGTGGCTCATGCCTGCAATCCTAGCCCTTGGAGGCAGGAGGATCAGAAGTTCTGTTCCTTGACTAGATGAGATACTGTCTCTACAAACAATAGAATATTTTTTAATTTAAAAATAGTGGCTTTTAGGTGTGATTTTTAAAACTTCTATTAAGTTATTATTATCATCATCATTACTATTATTATTATTTGTGTGTGTGCACATGTATGTTTGTGGCATATGTATGTGTGGTATATGGGCATGTTCATGCATGTAGAACCCAGGCATGGATGTCGGTGTTCTACTTTGCCACTCTTGCCTTATTCTGGAACCTAGGCTGTGGCCATGGCTGGAGTCACGGGCTCACACAACCATGCTCAGCCCTTTCCATTTGTTCTGGGAGATTATGCTCAGCTATCATACTTGTACAGCAAGCACTCTTTACAACTGAGCCATTTTCCTAGCATACATGTAATTTCCTTTTACAGATGGTGGAAGGAAAGGTTGCTAATGAGAAATATGCATATATTATAGTACACTTAAAAGCTGAGGAAGTAACTCATTTCTTAGAGTGCTTGCTTAGCTACAGAGAAAGTCCTGGGTTCAGTCTCTCAGCATGGTAGCACATGTCTGAATTCCTAGTATGGGGGGGGGAGGGAGGGAGGGAGGGGGGAGAGAGAGAGAGAGAGAGAGAGAGAGAGAGAGAGAGAGAGAGAGAGAGAGAGAGAAGGAGGATTGGAAACCAAGGTCATCTTCAGCTACATAGTGAGTTGAAGGCTGGCCTCAGTGACATGAGACCCTGTCTCAAAACAACAACAAGACAACAAAAGTATCAGTCAGCTCTTAAGATTGCTCCTTAGTAAGGTTCTCTCCATGCAGGAGTAGGATGGTAGCTGTGACGTTTTGGGACATTTTCCTCAGGTCCTGTTCTTACAGGATATCATTTGGACCTTTCTTACTAGTGACTTTCTTACATGGACTGTTTTTGGCTTTATAATAATTTTTTTTCAGGACAAAAGTAGAATTTATCCTGATTATTTGTGTATAAATCAATGAATGATGCTGGAATGTCAATTGTGTGTGTGTGTGTGTGTGTGTGTGTGCGTGTGTGTGTGCATGTGTGTATGTTTTGAGACAGGGTTTCTTTATGTAGCCATGGATGCCCTGAAACTCATTCTGTAGACCAGGTTAGCCTCGAACTCGGAGACCTGCCTGGCTCTGCCTCCTGAGTACTGGAATTTAAGGTATGTACCACCATTACCTGGCCAATCATTGTTTTTATAGAAAAGGAAACAATAGCAACCAAACATTCATCCCTAGAAAGTCTCCATAGCAGATAATTGGACTGTGTCCTAACAGACAACCAGGCTACCTGGAGCTCTCTTCTGACAAACTGCTGTGGCATCACATGAATAGAAACAGCATGTTGTAAGATTTATTTCCCAACAGGAGCCAACTGGGACTGACCTGATTCTTCATGTTAATTGATCAAATGCTATTGTTCAAACTTGTCGATGTTTCTCTGTTGGCATATTGGTTTAAAACCCTGTTATTTGAATCCTGTGGTAGGTTTCTAATGCACACACACATGCATACACATATATCTATATACATATACACACATATGTATGTATCTACGTACATACGTATGT